GAGGATCGGGGCGGGGCTACCTGCGAGGAGGGGGGCGGGGCGACCCGAGAGGGGGGCGGGACGAACCTCGAGGGGCGGGGCTTGGCGGGCGGCGCGGGCCGTGATTGGTGGGGCTGGGGCGGCGCGGTTCCCGCCCGCTCGCTCCGGTGCAGTCCGCTCCGCTCCGCTCCGGTGCGGTCTGGTCCGGTGCGSGCGCCCCCTGGCGGGGCTCGGGCGCCGTTTGCCGTTTCCAACGCCCCCGCCGCCCTCGTGTGTCCCGGCAGTGGTTTTGCGCGGCGGAGGACGCCGCGGGGCTCACGGCGCACAAGTTCCTGGGCGACCTGGCGTTCCGCGAGCGCCGCTTCGAGGTACCCGCGGGGCGAGGTACCCGGCGGGAGCGACACCCGCACCCAGGGGCAGCACCCGGGCTCCGGCCTGGCCCGTTGCGCTCAGGGACCCGCAGTCCTGGATTGGGTGCTTGTGCTGAGCTGGGTCCGGGACCCAGCAGGGTGGAGAGGGAGAGTGTGGGAGGTTTTTCCCGTGGTGCATAGGAAATCCCTCACTTTTGCTCGAGAAGGAACGTGAGTTTCTTGTTTTCCAGGGAAAAACAGGTTCCAGCCATTATGCTGGGAGGTGTTTAGGGTATATTGCCTGTAAGTTGCCTTCAAGTTTGCAAGGAATAATTAAATATTCCTTTGGAGGGATGGATGAATGAGCCCTGCTCTTTAGTCCTCTGCTCTGAGCACTTGCACAGAGGGAGAAGAACCAAGACTCCATCCTTAATACTTAATATATGCTTATAAATACTTAATATAACGTATTGCAATGTTAATTGGAGTCCTGCTGAGTGCCCTGAGCCTTAAGCTGTAGAATATTGCTCATTCTTGTCTTTTTCCTTGGCCCAATTAATATTTAAATATTTCACGCAAAGTTTCACACAAAAACACGGGGCCTCCAGCTCCGGCCTCCTCCCTGTGGGTCTGTCTCAGGTCACAGCTGCGGGCAGAACGTGCGGCCAGGCTCTCCCTGGAGCACGTCAAGATGTCTTGTTATTCTCTTACTATAAATATGTGTTATTATTCCCCTAGAAAGCCCTGTGCGAATACTCGAGCTGCCTGCGGCTCCTGCCGCCCGGTAACGTCGCCATGAGGAGGGACGTCCAAGAGGGCCAGGCTCGGTGCCTCTCTCGCCTAGGAAGGCACGAGGAGGCGCTGGATATTGCGGAAAAACTGGTAAGAAACCTTTCCTTTATACCCCCAGCCTAAAAACATTGCTCGTGATTGTTTCATGGGCACCGTTGGCTGGAAGAAGAGCCTTTGCGTGGAAAATCCTGCCGGATGTTCCGGGCTCGGCGTGTTTGGTGAACAGAGGGTGCCTGTCACTGCGGATCTGATCGCGCACTGGAAGTGAGAACACCCTGCGCCACAGCGAGCTGCCTGTGCAAGGAGGCTGCTGCGCCTGGGAGGGACTAAACACCATGCTCTGCTGGGCAGAATCAATGTAATCCCATCGGAATTACAAGAAAGGAGCGCTTAAATCTTTCCACTATAAAAGTGACAGTTCAGAATTCCCATTTATTTCCGAGCGTGCACCACCAAGCAGCCCCCAGGAGGAGTATCTAACCACAGGCAGAGTTTTGCCCCGTAAAGAAAACTGTCCAGATGCTTGGCAGTCTGCTGGGGTTTGGCTGCTGCTGTTTATTTGATATAAAAGGTGTTGATGCTGCAAAGAAAGGCAGCTCTGCAAGCTCTGCAGGCCARTAAAGGATAACATTCAGGACCAGGGCAACCAGGAGAGCGCTGTCAACTTGCTCGTGCATGATCAGTATCATGTTGTGTTATTTGAAGTATTCAGCAGGGATGACACAGTCCTATGTGACTAAAAAATTACCTTTAGAGATGGTTTTGTGTCATTATCCCAAGAGACATTTTTGCAGGCGATCGCGTGGTCCTGTCCCCAGTTCTAATTGATTTTCTTTTCTTTGCAGAGAACTGGTGCCACGAATACAGATCACTTAACRACTGTTCTCAACCTGCAGTTTGCCCTTTATCAGGGTGTGGGCAACGCGSAGAAAACGATTCTGTGTCTGCAGCAGCTGCTCTGCCTGCATCCCTTCAACCCCTGGTACTGGAAGCTGCTCGCCGAAGCCTATTGGGGCCTTTTGCAGAGCCTGGCTCCGTTATTCAGTCCGGAAAGGAAACTAAATCCCTCTGAAGAGGCTGGAATAAGGGACAGCAAATTCAAAGCAGCGCCTGGAAGGGAGATCAGTTTGCAGCCTCTCACATCTGAGAGCTGGGGAGAGTGGTTTTGGTCCAGCCTCGCTGCAGAAGCGGAGAAGCAAAATCCAGGAACTTGCAGCAACAGGCCAGTAATGAGAGATCCCTGCACTTCAGGAGATGCTGGAAGAGAGGATGAAGGGAAACAAAAAGCCTCTGAGCCCCGGGAGCAGGACACGCTGAAGAAGCTTGGCATAAAGGCATGTGCCTCGTTTATTAGAGCAAGGTAACTAAATATTTCCTTAACATAATGTGTGGGTTTTGGTTTTTTTTTTTTTTTTTCAACCCCAAAACAATTTTAAGCATTTTATTCCCAGCCTTAATACTGCAATTTCACATTTTCAGTTTAAATATTGGTTTTTTTATCAATAACACAAATCTAGAGAACCCCCCCCCTAGTGTTTGAGACTAAGAAATAAAGGCCACAAATTTGGGAGCTGTGAACAGCTCACACCTCTATGGAAAGGGTGGCCTCCAGTGTCACACGGAGCTAATAGAGGGTTTTTTAAGTGATTTCAGGGTATGAACCTTTTTCAAATCATTGTATACAAAAGTGTTTGTTCTCCTGCCAATACTCCTGTTAGAGCATGACTGCTTTGTGCTCTCATATTAAAAACCCAGCAACTGAGTTCTCTAAAAGGAAAGACTGGCCAGTCTGCCTTGTGGGAGAGAATATTTGAGAGAAAATGAGAATATTTGAGAGAAAATGAATTATTTCAATAATTCCCCTCAGTTTGCATGTGGATGAGTTGGAAAAAGGAGCTCTGTGACAGCAGATTGACCAGACTGCACTAAAATGCTGTTTCTTCCACTGCTTCCCAATATCTTGCACAGAGCAAATCCCCCCAAAAAGTCATCTTTCAAATATATAATTAGCAACTGTGCTTTATTTTTATTTTTATTCTATTTTTTTTCTTGTAAATAAAAATAAAAAGAAATAAGTAAAATACCCTTGCTTCTCAGTAATGTAGTAATCATTGGAAATGTTAAAGCCATTTTATGAACTTGTGCAAACGTTAACACTGAACCCCTTAAAACTGTCCTGTGAAGGTGAGTTTTAAGAAATGTAAAATCAGCTAAAATTGCTTTTAGCTGTGCTGCAACTGGGAGGATGCGACTTGAATTGTTGAGAGGTTCAGTAATTTTACACTGATGCAGGACAGTAAAGCCCCTGTCCAGGGCTTGTGCATTAAATAGGGTTTCTAATATACTCAAGTTTGCTGCGTTTTAAGTGAGAGGTGAGTGTTGCATAAACTACTGAACAGGGGAAATTTCAGCTGAAAAGGTGATTTATATAGTGAATAGGATTCTGTGTTAGAGCACTGTGAATAATTTAGTCTTTTAGTTTTACCAACAAGATAAGAAATAGAGAAAAGATTTTATTCAATGAGATTTCAGTCTTTTTATATGAAATTGTTGCAAAATTTGAAGCAAATGTGTTGTGTGCAGAAAAACTCCATTTTTATTTTCTTTTTTCCAAATCAGAATTGCACCATGTTCACAAATGGTTTCTTGGCTCAGACTTGTGGTTTTTGCTGTACATAATGCTCAAATTAAGGCTTGCATCGAAGATTTAAGKCTTCCGTTGATGCAAATGCACATCGTATTTTAACAGCCGCTTTGTTTAACTTTAGCAGATGTGGTAGCAGGGGTTGTATTTTTTATCACGGTGGTTGTATAGCTCGACCATAGGGGATTCATACAGATGTATTCACGGGATCCTAGAAAGGTTGAGGTTGGAAGGGCCCTCTATAGATCATCCAGTCCAACCCCTGCTCCAGCAGGGACACCCAGAGCACGSGGCACAGGGCGGCATCCAGGCGGGTTTGGAAGATCCCCAGAGAAGGAGACTCCACAGCCTCCCTGGGCAGCCTGTTCCACTGCTCTGTCACCCTCACAGGGAAGAAGTTCCTCCTCACCTGCAGATGGAACTGCCTGGGTTTCAGTTTGTACCCATTCCCCTTGTCCTGTCACTGGCCATCACTGGGAAGAGCTTGGCCCCTTCCTCCCTGCATTCACACTTTGTTTGCCTGCAGTTTTTGCAGTCAGGAAGCCAAAGCGTTTCCACATGTTACACTCCAGTCGTTGCGGGGTGGCTACCTTGCCAGCGGTGCCTTTTCTACCTGTCTTTTCCATGCCAGGCTCTTACTGCAGCTCACGCAGCTGCAACAGGCTTCCTTCGTGCTGGAGAGGAACACCCGGAGTCAGAAGGAAATTGAGGACCAAGTGGAGCAGTTTGGCTTGGGCGCGAGCTGCCTGCAGCTCATGGCCCAGGTAGGACATCGTGCGGACACCGCGGGGCCGCGTCCTTCCCTCCTCCTTCCCTGTGGAAGTTCCTGGAGCGGAGGCGACAGGGAAGGCCRCATGGTCACTGAACACTCCGTTCTTTCAGCAAAGAAACAGACACGCTCTCTTGCATTCATTGGTTTTTGTTCTGTCCAGGCTGTGGGTTCTAAAGAACTGCAGAGGGGCAGTCACACTGCAGAGCTTTATTCATAAAAATTAAACATTTTCAGGGTCAYTTATGGAATTTCTGACACTCTCTTTGAAGGGGCCAAAGGGATCAGGGAGATTCTCACTCTCAGAATTAGGGCATTAAGTCTCTAAAAGCCAAGTCATTGCCAGGCTGGCAGGCAGTCCTTGGGATTGCATCCATGAGAGGGCAGCAGCACGTGGAGGATCTCCGGGTCTGTGCAGATTGGGAGCAGAAACGGCGGAGAGCGTCGGTGCTGCTGCGAGGTGGCGCCCAAGGAGCTGCTGCTGGCACCTCTGCCAGTGCCGGGGGAGCAGGATCCCCGTGTGGGAGCAGGATTCCCACTGGGAGCAGAGCCAGGAGCCGCGAGGGGCTGGGGGAGCCTCAGGCTCCCGCTTTTCAGTCTTTATCACGGGAGGCAGCGCATGAACAACTGGGTGGGGACGCGGAACCTTCCCCTAGCYGGTTTATGGTCCGTGTCAAAAGGCTTTTCTTGGCCAGACCTTTACTGATGTCTCTTCTTTCCGAGCRTTGTTTACTCATTTCCCATTTCCTCCCTTGCTCTGTTGGCAGGTTATGGGTGCRGATCTTCTCCCAGAAAACCTGAGGGAGGAGTCTCAGGGAGAGGTGAGGTGCCTGGGCCCCGCGGCGCTCTCCGCGCTGCTCCCCGCCTCCGCCACCGAGTTCGAAGCAAAATGGTTTGGAAATCTGCCAGAAGCTTTATGTCACTTGGACACACAGTTTTCTTCAGATATATGTAGCCCGCCTTCAGGAATTTAGAGGTTTTTATTTATTCTCTTGGCTCCATCTTGGTGATGATGGAATGATATATGCAATAAAGTTCATATTATATTTTTAAGTATTCTTACTGTGTATGTTTCTTTTCAGAATACATATATATGTATGTGTGTGTATATATATGTGTGTGTGTATATACATGTGTATATATATAAAACTGTTTCTGCAGTCTTCATGTCCCAACGTTTTCTTCCTTCCCTGATTTGTTTGCATTGAGAGTGAGCCCAGTATAAAGCTGAGCTGAGCGATGCGGGTTTCAGAGGCTGCCTTCAGTCCAGGCCACGTAAAGCTGTTCTTGAAGCACCTGAGATCTCTTTGGRCCTGGGATGCCCTTGGAATGGCAGGTTGGTTTGTGATGTCCAGTTCTAAAAATCGGTATCCAGAAACTATGTTGTTGCACTTAGAGCTGTGGAATTAGTTGATTTCTTTATTTTTTTTTAATATTTCATGATTAATTGACATTCTAGTGGTTAACTGTTCAGCGTTAGAGAGTTGGGAATCTTAAATATGTTTATGTTGAGAAACTGTCAATAAGAACAATTGCTTTTGTTTTCTTTTTAGGATGTACCTAAATGGCAAACTTTTAACCCCTTAAATGTTTAAGCGGAGGGAGAAACCTGCACCCCTTTAGTCCTGCGTGCACAGGAGGGCAGGAAGCTGCCGGGGCTGCGGGAAGGTTTCGGAGGGTGTTAGTGGGATCCCCCCTCCGCAAAGCCTGCCCTGTCGGGAGGAGCAGCGGAGACCAACGGCCCTGTCCTTCCCTGCCTGACACCACTGACGTTCCAGGCAAGTCGGGTGTTTGCTCCTGTGCCCTCCGGTCCCCTCTCAACCCATTCCCAGCAGCTTTTCAGAAAAGCATCATTTAATGGGTGCATTTTAAAACTAGGGATCTCTTAGACGTGGTTTGCTGTGACTTCATGTTTTCCTGGTTGTTTTGCTTGCAATGCCAAAGGCTGCAGGGACTAAATGCCCGGCATTTGGAAGGTGACTCGGCGTACGTGAACACTTTGTGGTGCTGCTCCTCCCCAGGTCCTAAGGCCTGGAGATGCTGCTCAGGAAGCCTGGCAGCAGCCCTCGCTCCGGCCACCTTTCGTGCTAAGCCGGCTGCAGAAGCTCCCAGGAAAGCGGGATGCTGCCCTGGGCTGTGTGAAGCGCCCCTGGACGGCGCGGGATGAAACCACATCCCGGGCAGCCTGTTACGCAGGGCGGGTTGCTCAGGGCTGGGAGCCTGGCGCCCGCGGGGCGCGCGCCCCGTCACACGTGCGCAGCGCCAGTTCTTCTGCACTCGCTGTGGTTTTCCTTTTATTTTAGAGGGCTGTTATTTAAGAGGGATGTGGAGCTGCTGGAGAGAGTCCAGYGCAGGGCTACGAGGATGATCAGGGGCCTGGAACATCTGCGCTATGAGCAAAGGCTGAGGGAGCTGGGYCTGTTCAGCCTGGAGAAGAGGAGGCTGAGGGGGGACCTGATCAGCGTGTATAAATACCTCAAGGGAGGCAGTGAGGAGGAGGGGGCGGCCTCTTCTCAGTGGTGGCCATTGATAGAACTGGAGGAAATGGCCACAGACTGAAGCACCAAAAGTTCCACAGGAACTTAAGGAAAAATTTCTTCCCTGTGAGGGTGCSAGAGCCCTGGAACAGGCTGCCCAGGGAGGCTGTGGAGTCTCCTTCTCTGGGGATTTTCCAAACCTGCCTGGATGCCGCCCTGTGCCGCGTGCTCTAGGTGACCCCGCGTGTGCAGGGGGTTGGACTAGATGATCTCTAAAGGTCCCTTCCAACCTTAAGCAGTCTGTGATTCTGTGATTCCTGCTCCCTCAGCAGGAAGCTCCCCAAGCAGAACAGCTAAAACAGGACTCTTAATCCTGCAAGAGGACGGCGGGCAGCTTGTGCTCCATGTGCTGCACGGCCGCTGTCCCAAACGGGCAGGGTTTATTGCACCAGACCCCGCAGACGGGCCCGTGTGCCGCTCCTTGGTCTCCTCTGAGCCGCCGGGTTCCTGCTCGCTCCTCTCGCGCTGCCCGCGCCGCGGACGGGCGGTTGCTGCAGCTGCCGGGACCCGCTCGGCTCCGTGGCCGCTCAGTGGTTGAGCCTGTGCGAGCCTGCTGGGATGTTCCTTGGCACAGCTCCCTGCTGGAATTGTGAACCCTGCTTGTTCCGCATCAAAACCCACATTCCGTTCGTCCGGCGTTTGGCTCGACTGTGTCTGACTCAGCACACGCTGTACCGTGGCTCCGGCRTTGGGCTGAAATGGACCCCTCGCACCTCGCTGCGCCCCTCGGCGGCCACGAGTCTGTCCCCTCGGCCCAGCACGGGCCCCACGGCGGGGAAAGGGGGCCCGGGGGCACTGGGGGTCCCGGGGGGCATTGGGGGTCCCGAGCAGAGGAAAGGAAGGGCTTGGAGGTGTCACAAACCTCTCCCTGCACCACCCGGGTGGCCCCGGTAGCAGCAGCGAGAACTAGACCCAAGTCTAGAAGAAACCTCTTGCCCGGGCTGGTGGGAGCGGGATGTTTAAGTCCATTCCTGTTGACTTCAGGAGCGGAATGAGCTTCCTGCTGAGCCGAGTCACGGGCTTTGGGAAGGGAGGACGCTGCGGAGTGCGAGGGAAGAGAAGAACCAGGGAGAAACGATTCTCAAGGGGCATTTACTGCAAGTGGCTTTTCTTTCTCTACAGGAGTGGTTGCCACGTTGGGGAAACAAAATGGGATTGTCATAGGAATGCAAAGGTCAAAACTTTTACCCCAGGAATCCTAAAAACGGTGCTATGTACAGAGATTTACAATTATGTGCGGCAGCTTGTTGTTCATTCTGAACTCCAAAGCGAGATTCCGCAGATCTCGCTGTGGAGTGAGATTTCTCCACAGCCCTCACTGCAGCTAGGGCTCATGTCTCTGTTCTCCCTTGGATTTGGATGAAATGATGATACAGTGCTGGGATAAGAAATTACTGATTAACTAAGCATCTAATAACTTCAGAATTTCTGTAGAAATCCTTTATTTCTGTTCTGTTAATTTTCTTGTAAATATTTTACCGCTCCCACCGAAGTTCCCGTCGTTCTGCAGGTTGTCAGTGAGTTTCCTGCTTTGCAGGCGCTGCAGTCCAAGCTGCTGGTCCTCTGGGATCCCCATTTGTTCAATGGGAGCTGCAGCTTCCCAGTTTCTCTTGGCGAAAATCCCACCTCGCAGGACGTGCAGCCGGGAGCGCCGGGGTCTCCACCCGACGTGCAGGGACCGCGAGGGCGGCCCGGGAGGCGGCGAGCGCCGCGCGGGAGCTCGGGAGCAGCGCGTCAGGCCGGGGCAAGGGGCCGGCCGGTGGTGACAACAGCGGGTTGTGGCGGTGACAACACGGGGTTGCTGCCACCGCGGTGGCTGTCGGGCAGGGGGTTCACAACCTGCTCCTTACAGCAGTGTGAGAACCATGAGGTTAAACTGAAGCTTAGCCCTCCTTGAGGAGGAGGGTTCACCCCACATTACCCAGTTAGAGACGTCGTCAAGCGCAGGTGCTGGGCAGCAGCAGCCCCCCGTGGTCTGCAGCCCTGTGGATGCCTGTTCTTAACGGGCTCACGCTGCACCCCAGCTTTAGCTCCGCTTTTCAGTTAGTGGAAGAAGCAACCGTAGGCACCGGAACAGGGTAAGAGCCTTGAAATCCTCCTGTGTTTAGCCCGTGTGGGGTGTCCGTGTTCCTGCGTTTGCCCCGTGCAGGGTCTCCGTGCTCCTGCGTTTGCCCCGTGCGGGGTCTCCGTGCTCCTCCGTTTGTCCCATGGGGAGTCTCCGTGCTCCTCCGTTTGCCCCGTGCGGGGTCTCCGTGCTCCGCAGTCCCTGGCAGTGCTGAGCAGCCCCTGGCCGCGCTCGCGGGCGCCGCGGGGCCGGGTGGCCGTCAGGCGAACAGGTTGGCCTTGTGAAGGCACCGCCAGGGCGCCGCTACCCCGGTCCTGCCGGGCTCCTCCTGCCGCAGCCGGATGGGTCTGTAGATGTTCATGTTGCCGTAGAGGAGGGCGGCCGAGTCGCAGTGCGGCTGGTAGTAGGTGGCCGGCAGGGCCGGCGGGGGCGGCGTGAAGGGCCCGTAGCTGTGGAAGGAGCCGACCCTGTGCAGGGGGGACGGCGGGGCCAGGGCGCCGCTGAAGAGGGGCGCTCGGGGCGCGCGGCCGGCGCGGGGGCTGCCGGCCGAGAGGCTGCTCAGGGCGTCCGAGAGCGTGTGGGCGCTGCCYGCGCTGCTGGCCGAGGGGCTGCGGCGCGCGGGCCAGGCGGCCGCGCGCGGCACCGGCGCCCGCGGCGGCGACTTGGGGCCCCTCACGGGCTTGGAGAGCGCGTAGAGGTGGCGGAACTCCTCGTSGAAGAGCTCCACCACCTGGCCCGTGAACTTGGAGAGCAGGTTGCGGTGCACCTGGCCGCACAGCCACGTGAAGCTGCCGGAGAGGGCAGGGGTTAGAGCCAGCGGGATCCCGCAGGGAGGAGGTGATGGGAGCCGGGAGCAGGACGGGGCGCGAGGAGCGCACGGGGCTACGGGGAGCAGGAAGGGGCCATGAGGAGTGGCACAGGGATGCAAGGAGCAGGACGGGGCTGTGGGGAGCGGGATGGGGCCACAGCTGCTGTTCGAGCTCCCGTCAGCACCCGCTGTGACTTGGATCTCACTTTGTTTTTGCAGCTGCCTCCCCCACTGGGGAGAAATCCTGGCGCGTCCAACAAGCTCCCGGAGCAGGGTGGGAAGCAGCACCCGGAGCCCGCAGGGCTGCCCGCTCCCTGCCTCACGCTGCGGTGCCTGTTCCCTGGAGCCTGCACGAGGTACTTACCCCCATGCACCGTGCCGGAGCCRAGGGCTTCCCACGCAAACACGCAGGGTGCCCTTTCCTGCAGGCTGCCATGCCCCTTGGGAAGTGCAACCCACCCAGTCCCGCACCAGGAAAACAGCAAAAATCCTGTGCCCATTTTTCCCAAGCTGCTGAAAAGCAGCCCACCCAAACCTGCCCCTCTCTGCCCACCCAAACCTGCCCCTCTGTGTCCACTGACACCTGCCCCCCTCTGCCACATCACAGCCCTCCAAGCCGCCCCTTGGGAGCGGGGAGGGGAGGTGTTTGGAACAGAGTCCATGGAGAAAACAAAAACAAAATCACACCTGTAAGTTAAAAGCTACCACCAACAAAACCCCACAGCAAACCTGCTAACTGACTCCCAGGGAGAAAAACAGCCTCTGGGCCCCATCCTGGCAGTTGTACTCGCCCGTGTCACTGCAGGCCAGGCTCCCGAAGCAGCAGTACAAGAACCTCTGTCCAGCCTCCACTCACACTCACACTCACACTCACACTCACACTCACTCAAGCCTTGGCTCTTTAGCGGGTTGTTAGAATCAGCTCCGGAGCAGGGGATGCCGAGGATTTGCTGCTGGGCCCTCTGCCCCTGACAGCCTATATGCATCCTCTTTGCTGTCCCTAACACAAATGGATTTTATCCCCAAACGCTTTGGCTTTGGGGATCCATGGATGGACCATCCAGAGGACCGTGGATGGACAGAAGGGCTCTTGGATTTCCTCAGCCCACTCCCGTCCTCGACATGCAGCCCTGTGCCACAAGCTCTAGGTGACCCTGCATGTCCAGGGGGGCTGGACTAATRATCTCTCAGAGGTCCCTTCCAGCCTCAACCATTCTGTGATTCTGTGATTATGAAGCTGGCTAAGGGGAATACGCCTTGGTGTTCACTGTGAGATCTGTGCAAACACAACTGCTAATAATTACAGAGCAGAGGGGGCCGGTTTGCCCCAAGTTCAAATCACTCCTGTTCCAGCCTGCAGAAGTTGCTCCGTAAGATTTTAGGTATAAAAGGAAACTTGAACCTGTATAAAGTGAGAGCCAGCAAGGCCCCAGAAAAACAGGCGCCGAGAGCAGCTCTGAGCCAGCGAGCAGCGCTGAGCTTGCTGGGGTGAGAGGGGGCTCAACGTGCCCTCCCCCTGCTTGCTGGGTAGCAGGTTATGCCGTTGGACGAGTCCCTTGGGGCTAGGAGATACTGCAGCAGCAGTGGAGAACAACAGGAATAACGCTGTGCCGGGCTTCGGGRGTGGTTTTGTTTGTATAAGAGTGAAAAGAGATGCCAAAGGAAGCCTCGTSGTAAAGAAAAGGTCTTGTTCTGTCCCTGTCCTTCTGCACGTCCTGTCCTTCTGCTCCTATGTAAATCTGCTGTTGCATTTTGGTGAGGGTTTGGAAGCTAACAGAAAGCTGAGAGGACAACAACAAAAACCGGAGCGGCCAATAAAACCTAGCCTGTGTGGCCACTCATTAGCTGGTGGTTCATTTGGGATCTGAATTTGGGCTTGTGAATGACACAGCTCTGGCATTTGTTAAGCTCAGCTTGGTAGCCAGGAGACTGAGGAACTTTATATTTACGTGAGCCAGACTCAGAGCCTCGAGTCTGACAACTTTGGGATCATAATGCAAGTCTCAGCTGTGGAGTTTCTACACTTTGSCTCTGGAAGAACTAGAGCAGCACAGAAATGGAGAGTCTATCAGTTACTACAAACCAGCTCACAAAGTCACAACAATTACAAAGAAACTTGCTACCTGTTAAAGAAACACAAGGGAAAAGCAGGGTGTCTCCAAAGTCTTTCTGTTTTCCCTTTAATCACTAAACTTGTCGTATGGAGAACGAGCCTTTAGATAAGGGATTATCTGCACTAGGGGATCCTGAGGGAGATGGAAACACAGCTYGTGGGAGCCCTTGAGGACCCAAGCAGTGAGGAGAGCCCAATATCAACACACACACAGGTCCAGTTCCCTGCCAAACTGCACCAGCAAAGTCATCCGCATCAGTCTCAAACACTTAAACCAAATGCCACGTTCTACAGAGATCTCAGAAGCTTCAAAGTTACAAAAAAGTGTTAAATGGATTGCTGAAAATTATGTATACTTCAAAGAAGGGGATTATTTTAATTCACCTCCCCCCTCAAAAACCCTCAACTGTACCAAAGCTTTCTTTGGCACTTTCTACGTGAAGTAATAGATTTTAAGAAGATTAACGAATAAATAAATAAATAAACAAGCCATCAATAGGAGGTCTCACAGACATGAGCTGCAGTGGTTGGTCTCACCTGTAAGAGCCAGAGAGCACGTATCTCCAGTCAGAAATCAGGAACTTTTCTTGTATTTGTCCTGCAAATTTCCTGCCTGATTTGGCACAGTAAACCTCTCCTGTGACGCTGCGGACTGAAATGTTCTGGCAAAGAAAAAAGACAACGCAGAATTAATTAAAAACACTAGTAGAATTAATTTTTTATATCTTTTAATTTAAAACCAGAAGGAAAGGGCCCTTTCCCCCTGGTCTCCAGCTCTTCCCTTCTTCCTGCTCTCAGGATATCCTCATGCTTTTCCTAATGTTGCGATTGAAGGGCTGGGGTAGCAGGAACCTCCTCAAGCCTCCCCTCCTGCTCCTGCTATTTGCTTCACGCGGGAGATGCAGCTGTGTGGAGACCTGCCCAGAGGGAGCGACGGTGCCTGGTGCTGCCCTTGTGCATGCGAGACACGTGTCCCACCCACAGCCCCTCCGTTGGCCCCAGAGCCAGCAGCAGGTGCCCGCGGTCGAGGGGTAGGAGGGCAAAGACCTCGACCACCCTCGTCCCGCCTGGATGCCTCTCGTCCCGCTCGGATGCCCCTCATCCCGSCTGGACGCCCCGTGCTCCTGCTCGCGCCTGTGTGGCCCCTGCAAGCTGAGGCGCAGGCTGAGCTCAGCCCTGGCTTTGCTCCTGCAGACTGAGCTCGGCCCTGGCTTTGCTCCTGCGGGCTGAGGTTGGCCCTGGCTTTGCTCTCGTAGACTGAAACCAGCCCTGGCTTTGCTCTCGCAGGCTAAGCTCGGCCTTGGCTTTGCTCTCGTGGGCTCAGCTCTGCCCTGGCTTTGCTTCCGCAGGCTGAGCTTGTCCTTGGCTTTGCTCCTGTGGGCTGAGYTCGGCCCAGGTTTTGCTCCTTCTGCCCAAGCCCGGCTTTAATAACCCGCTTCTATCACCCTTTATTAACCTTTAATAACAAAARCTTTAATCACCCGCTTCTATCACCCTTCCCGTGCAAACACGCGGGAGCTCAGTACCTTGAAGAGCTCCTCGGCCACCTGCAGCTTGTCGCACATCTCGGAGAAGAGCTCTATGCTGCCGTGGTCGAGGAGCAGGTAGACAAACACCATGCGCTTGTTGGCCGCCTCCAGGAGGTCGCAGAGGATCTCGGTGTCCGTGAACACGTCCATGACGATGGCCAGCACCTGCGGGAGCGGAGGCCTCAGCACGGGAGCTCGCGCAGCCCCAGCTCGCCCGGGGAAGGGAGAGGGCCTTTAGTTACTAAAATATGTATTTATGTTGAGCAAACACAAGCCTGAGAATGCACATGTGCATATTTCTGTTGCACTCCCTAAGAGCTCTTCTTGGTGGTGGCCAGTGACAGGGCACCGGGTCCCGCTGCAGCGGCTCCCTCCTGCTTTCCACGGCTCCTTATGAACTTACCCCTTCAGTCCGACACATTCCCGCCCGGACGGGGCACAGAGGGCCCCAGCTGCGGCACTTGGGGCCCCCAGACCGCCGGGACTGAGAGCAGTGTAAACGTGACGGGAACCCACCCAGCTCCGCATGGGGACACGGGTTCCCCTGCCTGGCTGAGGCTCTGCGCTCCATAGTGCCCTGCTGTTGTCCACAGAAAGGGCCACGGCCCCAGGAAAATCCCGCCCAGCTAATACCTCCTTTAGCTTCCAAAGGTGCACATTCCTCTGCGGATCGGGATGGACAACCCGATAATCCCACTTGTGCTACGAACAGCTTTGAAAATCAGTGAAATTGCCACAGTTTCTACTGAAGTTTTCTGCACTGCTAGGCAGAGCGGCTGCTCTGGTCTCGCCAGGCCCCGGGCAGACCCTCCAGCACCGTCACTGTGTGCAGGGTGGCCCCTGGGAGACACCGTTTCACAGAGCCTAACAGGGAAACACACACGGAAAACCAGAGCTTTCCTGCCTGCAGGGCTGCTCCAGATGATCCCTAGAGGTCCCTTCCAAGCTCAGCCATCCTGTGATTCTCTGATTCAATGTTCTGTCAGGATGGAAAACGGGACGGGGTTGATGCGCTGGCTGATGTTTATCCTGCCCTTCCCCTGCTCCTTCTGCTGTTGCTGCTTCTCTGTGAGGCTCTGAGCTGCTCTGCGACTCCCCTGGCAAAGGGGCGTCCGCCCCTCTGCTCCTCCGGCAGGATGGGGAGCCAGGACACGGAGCCTCGGGCGCTCCGGGGCTTGGGCTGGAGAGCGGCCGCTCCAGAGGCTTCCTGCTCTCAACCTGGCGGCTCCCTGGCCCACAGAGGTTTGAAATGAAGCTTTGGGAAAAGAGCAGCAATAAACTGCTTGGTTGGACTCAGGTAAAGCCAAGGGGGGCCGCTAGTGATGCTGACATCCGAGAGCCAAGTTGGGAGGAAATGCAGCGATAAACCGGAGCCTCTTCCCAGGAACGCAACCCGGTCACCCGRGGGCTCCCTCCTCACCCCGTGCCGAGGCTCTGCCCTTGTAGGTACCTTTTCTTGCCGAAAGAAACGCCTGGAAACCGCGCTCTGCTTGGGATGCGCTCCCACCTTGGCCCTTCAAAAGCCCCACGGGGCTCGGTGGCCGTCGCTGCCCGCTGGGCAGTCCCAAGCTGCCCTGAGCTCTGAGCTTCAGCTTCGAGTTGAACCTTGCACTTATGCAAGGCTAAAACTCCCCCATGCTGATGAGCAGAGCCCCGAAATGCCTAATTATTATTTTTGGTCTATAAGGAAGGGGAAATAAAAAAGGGAGCTGTTGCTCCCGCGCCAGAGTGCCCCGGACAAAGGCACTATGTCRCCCGGCACTGGGGCCCCCCCGAGACCCTTTCCCGGCGCCTTTGCTGCTCCTCCGCCAGCCACTTCCCCACTGCTGCTGCTGTTATAACATAGCAGCATGAAATGGGGCACAAAAAGGGATTCCTGCTCTTTTCTGAAGTCCGTGGGATGAGGTGAGAGCGAGGCCGCCCCACACTGCCCGGCCCTGCCGGCCGCCCCGCGCCGTGTCCTCATCCCCGGCTCCAGCGCCCGGCCGGGGAGCGCGGCGGGCGCCCCGTACCTGCGTGGTCCTGTTGATGTGCCGGCGGATGATGTCCCTGATGTTGCTGTTCTTCTCCGTCTGGAAGTACACGGTGGCCGTGGACTTCTCCTTGAGGTAGGGCTTCTCGGCGGCGCTCCAGGAGCGCAGCAGCGGCGGCTCGCTGCTCTCCGACGCTGTGGGGAAGTAGGTGCCCGACGGCAGCGAGGCCGCCTCGTTGGGCTGCTTGGCGCCGGCCGCGCCGTCGGCGCCGGCCTCGYACGCGTACGGCGACTCCGTGGCGTGCTCCCGGATGTAGCGCGCTTCCACGGAGGACAGGAAATCCACCTCRCCCTCCTTGCCCAAGGTCTCCAGGTAGGAGTCGGTGCCGCCGTCCAGGAAGGCGTCCGTGGCCAGCCTGATGCTCTCGTTGTGGCTGAAATCCGCCTTGGGCAGCGCCAGCGACTGGTTCTTGATGTCGTCCAGGCGCCGGCGGATCTTGCCCACGTGCCGGGGCTGGCTCATGGCGCCGCCGTGGCCGAGCAGCCGCTCGGCAGGGTAGCCCGCGTGCACCGCGCAGGCCGCCCAGCCCCGCTCGTGGCCGGCCTGCATCCCGCGGCTCCCGCGCCGCCCAGCTCGCAGCAGCAAAAACAGAGAGGCCTCGGCGCCCGGGGCTAATTCACGCTCTTGTTGGTTCAATTAACTTCAAAAAAAAAAAAAAAAAAAAAAGGAAGAAACAAACCCGATCTCGCTGGCTTCTCAGAGGTACTTCAGCACCAAATCTGTTTCCAGATGGAGGCACGGAGCTGATGAGATTGCTTATCTGCGAGGCCCCCACCTCTCCCCGCGGGTGTGCCGAGGCCTCCCGTGCAATTAGCAGCGCTGTCCGATGGGCTCCGCTCTGCCGTGCCGGCGCATGCTGGGCAAGGCGCGCGCGAGGAGAGCGCTCAGCCAGAAGCAGGGAGGCTTCCAAGCATCGTTGCACAACCTTCAAAACAGCCCCGGGCTCCTTGGGCTTCCCGTGGGGTTCCTTACGGAGCACAAACAGCCCGGATGCGCGGCCGGGGCAGAGGCTCCGGCCATGGCGGCAGGTTCAGAACGGCAGCGAGGGCGCAGGACTCCTGCCCAGACCTTCCTGCTGCCGGGCCAGCGTAAAAACAGCCCCAAATTCGTCACTGTGCCCCGTCCGTAGCATGTTGCTATTACTCTGGACGATGCACTAATTTATTTCTTTAAAGCTTTATGACTACTCTGTCCTATTAAAAGAAATAAATACCCTTTCCCAAACATCCTGAGTATTATGTGGAGGGAGGGTTGTGAGCCAGCCCCAAAGCATCAGCAATGCAAACACTCATCATCTGATTGTGCACATTTTGTTTCTTTTCCTCTTTTTTTTTTTTTTTTTTTTTTTTTTTTTTCTCCCTTAAGTTGCAGCTTCTAGAGTCACGTTGTCATCCTGGAAGCCCAGCTGCTGTGTCATTAGAAAGACTAAGACGTTCCTCAGCGGGGACAAGGAGCGAAATACCTGTGGGGAGCCAGGCCAACTGGTACGACCGCACGGGGATGAGGTAAGACAGGGCGTGAGAGCAGCACGCATCAGGTATTCCATAAATACCCGGGTATTTACGGAACAGTCACGCCGAGGCACGTGTGACACACTTTTATCATGCAGGCAGTGCTCCGCGTGCCGGCTCCGTGCCGGGGACGGCAGCGGGCGCCGCAGTCGGAGCTGCTCCGGGGCGCTCCGGAACAAGGACGTTTGGAGGGTTGTGTAACCTGTAAGAGTAACAACAGGCCTGTTTTTTCAGGAGGCAATCCCAGATTCGCCACCAAAGGGGTCTGCCTGATGGAAGAAAAGTAATTATGTGTTAGCATGACGTAAAATCATATATATTAAAATGGAGAGGGAGAAGATGTAGCTCTGATCTTTAAACGGGGAGCAATGGAAGCCAAGGGGGAGGTGGGAGGAAACCCTCCCCTGCCCTTCCCCCAGCCCCAGCGCCCGCCCCGGGCTGTGTCAGACCCAGCGGAGAGTCATTAATTATCCGTGACCTGCTGCGTGCAATGCGGCCGGGAGCGATGCCGCTTCACGAAGGTGACGTGCGAGATGGCGCCCGGGAGGCCTCCCCGCGCCCGCGGCTCCCGGGGCCRCCTTGGCGCCCACCCGGGGCTCCCGCGCTGGGTCCCACRCTGTCACCCAGGGCTCTCCATCAGCRCCCCGAGGTTCCACACACACCCGTRGGCTCCACGGCTTCACCCTGCTCCCACACAGTCACCCAGCAGCCTCACACTGTCGCCCAGGGATCCCAGGCTGTCCCCTTGGTGCCCAGCAGTGTCACCCTGGGGCCCCACCGTGTTACACGAGGGTGCCACAGCGTCACCCAAAGTGCTGCCCCGTCACCACGGGCCCTCACGGTTGCTCTGGGGTCTTTCACACTCACTCACAGAAGCACCATGGAGCCCTGCACTTTCCTTGGGGTCCCACATGGCCACCTTGGGGTCTCACGGTGTCACCCTGGGCCCCTCACTAGCACCTCAGGGTCCCATAGTGTCGCCCTGGGGCCCCCCACGATCCCCCGGGGCCCTGCGGTCACTCCGAGCTCCCACAGGGCCCCCTCGGGGGCGGCGGGACCCCGGGACCTGGACGGGGAGGCCGCAGCCGCCGCGGGTGCCCGGCCCGGCCCGGCCGCCTCCGCCGCGGCGCGAGCGGCGCCGCCTCCATGAGCGCCGCGGGGGAAGCGTTACCAGCCGCCTCGTTAGCGCAGTAGGTAGCGCGTCAGTCTCATAATCTGAAGGTCGTGAGTTCGATCCTCACACGGGGCAAAGGCGGGCAGCTCTTTTGGCGCCCGCGGGGCGGCCTGGCGTGAACGCGGGCTCGCAAACGGGCCAGTGCAGCGCGAACCAACGCACGAACGCCGTGATTTACCGACTGTTTATTTTATTTTGTTTTTGATTTTTTTTTTGGTGTGTGGTTTATGAAGATGCAGTTCCAGGGCCATGGGCCTTTGCTTCCTGCTTCCCAGAGGGTTGCTGAGTGAAAACAAGCCTCCCGGCAGGCTCCAAGGCCACATTAACTATCATTCCCGCCCAGCGCGGCCTGCTGCAGCTCCGAACAGCAGCAGCTTCCTCCAGGACCAGGGCCCTGGTTTGTGCACCCCGACACGGCGACGTTTCAGCAGCACCTGTGTCCCAAGGTGCTGGCCAAGGCACTGGCTTTTCAAAACCAAGCACAAATCATCACCCTTAACTCCCAGCAACTGCAGTCCTTGGAAGAAGGCACTTTTCCCAGCAGTTTATCACTATAATCTCCAGCAAAGATCTTTGCCTTGTGTTTTGCTCTCTCTAGAAACATGCATCTTCCCCAGGTGCCACCAAGATTTTTCTCAAAGGATCCTGGCTGCCCTTCCCTACCAGCTGCCCTGGCTGTGGTTTTCCTTGGCTACTACTGGCTGCTGACTCCAGCAGGGAGGACGCTAATAGACCACCCATCTGTGGAAACTCAGGATCCCGTTTCTTGGAATGAAGGRAATAGCTAGTCAGGTTCACAGGAGTGGGACAGCACGGAGAAGCACTGRGAAGTTCAGTGCATCGGACTGAAGGGTGAACGAAACGAGTCCTAGGTTCTCACAGTGCCTCACACAGGGATCTTCTCCCATATGGGTGTAACAGGTAACGATCCTGAAGGATTCCTTTGGTTTAACTGGGCTTTGTTTAGGCAGGGCTTTTAGGCAGAGCCTTTCCTGACGTACAGGAGGCTCCCAGCACAGCGAGGTCCTGCCTGCCGCCACCACTCGAGCTCTGACCGCACTGGCTGCTCCGACCCCACGTGCAGCTCCCTGCGCTCACCCTGGGACAGCACCAGGAAACGGGGAAAGATAGACGAGAAAGGACCCGATCACAAGATGGCCGCAGCAGGACAAGGTTCCATCAAGCAACCCCGGAGCAGCCTCTCTAAAACCTCTCTATTCCCCTCACTGCTCCTCCCAAACCCACTTCCCTAAAATATTGCCTTCCTTATGTAAAACTCCTTGTGTTCACCTTGTTTCTTCCTTTACTAAGTCCAGATTGGYCCCCTTCTTAGTGCCAAACAAGGCCTCTTTTCAGTATGTGAYCACCCTCACTGTGAAGACTTCTTTCTCTAGCAGTAAATTCCCCTGCTGCAGCTCGAAGATTCCAGTTAAACAGCACTAGCAAATACAGTAGTTTAAGTGATTTTTTTTTCATTGCACTATTTTGACCTGAACAGACTGTGTACACAAATACCATTAACAATTTAATAGTAAAAAGGGAATTTATTTTAGAGAAAAAATAGTAATTACAATTAATAATAATAATAAAAAGGTTGCAAACACCACACATTTTTCTACCTCTCRTTTTATTTTAATATAAAAATATTTCCAAAGACCTTCACAATAAACAATTTATGGTTAGACCTTGATCGCACACTATATATTTAGAGTTGCACTGATTGATGTGAATGTAGAGCTGAAGTTCAGGGCAAACATCTCAAGGAGTCCACTTTGTAGCAGGGAAACGAGCTGGCGAGCGCCTGGTCTGAGCCCGCAACGCCAGCCTCTCTCGGAGCCGCCTCACTTCTGCCATCAGGTCCCACTCTTTGCCCGTCAGTTCTTCTCGCCTTCTACCTGAWGACACTGTAAGTGCAAGAGACACAGATTTAGTATTTCAGCTAGMATTTCTGCAAAACTAGCAGGAATTCTTGTTGGAAAATAAATAAGCTCTGCATGGAAACACTACGTTTTATTCTGTGGTGCAGTTGTATCCGAGACCTGCAAGGGAAGAGCAATTCCTCCTCAGTGCTTTGGAAGCGATGCCAAGGCTGCTCTGATTTTTGTCACAGGAAGGTYAGATCTCCATGAGATGCTATGATAGGTGAGAAGAAACATGTTTCCCATCGCAAACAGCTTCGTATATAAAATACATATGATTTTTAAATGCACATTCACTGGCAAGGGCAACCCTGGTTCTAGAAATGTTTGATTCTAGACCAGTTCCTCACTATAATTCTCAGTAAAATGCAAGACAGTTCTCAATCTTCTCAAGTCACAGACAATTATGAAAAGAGAAAAAGCACCATGTAAAATGATCAGGACAGGGACTAACCTAGAGTGAGGATATTCCCATAATGGGACACACTTCAGGCACTTCCTACCCATTCTATTCCTGGTAGCACACAGATATTTTTCAGGTGTGAGATCGAAAACAGCAATAAAGTTGCTCAGAGTCCTCTAAGCCCCGACACAGTTAGCAGTGACTCAGCCAGGTGTCCAGGACACTGTAAACATGAGAAGAAGGAAGGTCCTAACTCAGAAACTCACCACGTGATGATGACTCTGACTCAGATACATCGTTGAGACAGACGTTTCCAGACCTAGGCACTTGCTGCAATCCTAAACCTGTCTCTGTATGTCCAGTCTTCAAATCATGCTGTCTCTCTGTGGGAAATGCAGAGAAGGCTTCTCTGTAAATTGTGTTCTTTTTTTCTAATATTTTTTCTAGCTTGTGGTGAAGCATTTTGTTTCCAGGAAGCAAAGCTGGAACAAACACTAAGGGCAAATCCAATTTGCTCAGAATCAAAAGTCAACAATATTAGTCTATGGACCAAAATCATACATCACTGTATTTCATTTTAGGAAATTATAACTCTACATTACTGTTTCTTCCTATATAATTAATCAGCCTCCCAAGAGATGGTCATGAACTTCAAGCAGAATATGGCTACTCACACTTGCAGTTTTAATAGCAGACACCCTTTTTAATAAGACAGTTGCAATTTGCTCCATATTAAAGTATTAGGCAAATTAGGGCAATGTCTAAATAACTTTGCCCAAAGCAATACTAATCATTTCACACTGGCTTGTTTGTGCCTTTGAGAGATGGGGAAATGGGAAAAAAAAATCTTTATGAAACCATGCAAAGATGGCACTCAAGGAGAATAAACTGGATGGTCCTGGAGGTGAATGCTTTAAACTCTGCAAACAGACAGAGCAAATTTGCTTGCTGGCAAGGAGTTTGCTTTTCTTGAGATTATTTGAGAGAGAATTTCTGTGGGATGAGATGCTGTGATGGGCTTAYGCTGATCTAAAATTGTGCTCCCACTAAAAGTGCCATTTCTATCATTCCCTTTGCAGTGGCCACTGTTTCCTCTGTGCTGGCACAGGGGGCAAGGGCCTCAGTTCCCTGATGTGACTTATTCTAGTCCTTCAAAAAAAGGACTAACGTGCAGCTGGATAAGCAAGCTGCTCTCACCAGCCCCATGGCCTGGTATTGCCAGATCCCACGCAGGAGAGTGTGAAAACATGTGCCCAGCACAGGGAGGGGAAATAACCCTACTGTGGGCAGCCTTCTCAAAGGCCACCTAGAGAAACCACAGGGATTTGAAAATTCCTACCTCTTCACAAAGCAAGAGGGACAGTTGCACAAACATGGCATAATGGGGATGAAGAGAGGGCTTGTATTCTCTCCTATATTCTTTAGCTGTATGTAGAGGAGCCAARGGAGTATGGAACTTAATTCTGCAAATGCATAATATGATGGCGAGTTGTTACCCTGGTTGGAGTGAGACTAGTGTCAGTGGGACAGCACTTYAGCCTGGAAGACCTCAGTGCTGGACAGAGGACTCCTATGGTGAAATTGCTTTACCCATACGGAAAATTGTTACGCATCTATCATGGGAAGCCCAAACCGTAGCTATCTTCAAGTTGAAAAGAGAGTTACAGCTTGAGATTTCTGTTTTGATTCAAAGAAAACATAGTGCAAACTACTGTTGTAGTTCTTTTGTATATCCAGAAAATATTATGTAACAGCAAATTGGGAGAAAAATTATCTTAAGTTTTGGGGATGCATGAAGGAATCACCAGCAACCAGAAACAAAACATGAATTTCCAACTATACACAATGGCCAGCTAATTTTCTAGACACGATCATTTATATGCCTGCATCTCATGGGTATCAAACTGAGACTCCTTTACAACTCTAGCCTCCTATACCAGGTTCATGAAAGGACAGTCCCAAAAAGTTGCCCTTTTTATATAAAGGCGCTAGGCCTGAGTTTACTCCCAATCTTAGACACCTAGTCTGTCTTCAGCTGATGAATATGGCTCTTCACATCAATACCCAGTGTGCTGAAACACAGGCAAACTGCACYACCTATATGCTTACCAAAACAGACATCTTCTTTCTGTGTCTTTTCAGCCAATTCTAAGGCATCCTTCATTTCCTCTTCTAAGACCTGCTTCCTGTGCCCATCTGCAGCAGCAGCCGCCTTCTGCTCTGCCTCCAGCTCAGCCTTTTGCTGCCTCCCTTCTTGCCCCTGCAAGACAGATCATCAGCATATATTCAACAGATGCATTACACGGAAAAAGCAACAAGTAAATCCACCCAAGTTATCATAGGTTAGATTTTATTCTTAAATCAAAATGTATACTTTGACACTGAGCAAATGTTTTCTTTGCTTCCTTTTATTTATCTTTCCAATTCAAACAGCTAGAGCAGGGTAAAAGGCTTGGATTAGAGAAAACAAGGAGGAGCAAAGAAGATGCTAAGAAGATGCTGGAAGATTTCCTAAGAAAATGCTACCAGGTCCTCATTGACTTCCTCTGGTGCTTCTAGAAACTTCCAGCAGAACACGAAATGGGAGCCCTTAAACAACAGTTGTGGTGACCTCCTTCCAGGGCACCCGAGGGGCGGAGGGCGGTTATGCTGCGACCCTCCCGTTTCAGGAGGGGAAGGGGGCAAACACGGTTTCTCCTGAGGAGCAGTGCTGCTGTCTCCTCACGGAGGCCCTCCCGCGCGGCGCCCTCAGTGCGCCCCGGCTGCGGCCTCCTCGGCTGCCTGAGGAAACACCTTTCTTAGCAGGGAGGGATGCAGCCTTTCCCAAGCACACAGCCCTACGTCTAAGTGGGTGAAGATCTCCTGGCAAAATGAGCTGTTCCTCCATCACCACTTCAGCCGCCCCATGAGGACACTGAACTCCTCCTGACCCTCCTCCACTCATCACAGCACGGYGGCTTCTCAAGAAGTTCTTTTTTTTGCTGCTTCTTTTTCATCCTTGTTGTTTTTTCATTTACTGAGCGTGCTTTTCTCTGTCTCTCTCTCTCTCTCTCTCGAAGCATAAATCCCTTCCATAATTCGGGGATTGTGCTTTGCTGGCAGGGACTTGATCTGACTTTCAGGTGTAATTAACATCAGATTCATACCTGAATGCCAATACTTCCACCCACACCCATCTGCTTCCTTAAACTGGAGGCTGCTGACAAAAATTCAGACCCATATGCTTATTTCTAGAYAAAATATAAATGCAGATGCCAAGCATATGGGCAGTGGGCTAGCTACAACTATTCTTCCAACTGTGTAGCTAGAAGTTCTGAGGTTGAAAATCTGCACAGTTCCTAATGTGAAGCTCTACCAGTCATTATTGTGATCGAGGAGACAGCTTCTCTAGCTGAGTTTCCTGCCAACTACTGCCAACTGCAAGTTCCTTTGAGGATTACTTTTGTTTTGTCATGGTTACAAATAAAACATGTTCCTTAACAGGAAAATCACTTCATCTGAAGAATGGCAATCTCATTTGCCACCTAACTGCTGGAAAGTAAAGAGAAGTTTAATATTTGAGGCAAGACTACAGAAATTCTCTATTATAAATAGTGGTTTGAACACTCTAGTCAGATTTTTGAAAAGCTCAAATGCAAGATAAACCCAAAACKTTAAACACACTTACATTATCTATTAATATAGGAAATATTGGGACATAGGTTGAACATCGCCACACTTTTACCAAAGTAGTAAATATTGCTAGCTAGTGAGCTAACTTCCAAAAAAAGCATGTTAAGACCCAACGCTTTTACCATCTGAGCTTTCTGCTTTTCTTCTCCATCTACTTCCACCAATTTCTRAACAAGATGATCTTCCAGATCAGCCTTTCTTTGACTTGCATCTCTCTCTCCTTTCACTTCCTGCATCACTGTCTCTTGATCTCTGTTAAGACGCTACCAAACACACAAGCACAAATTATAGACACTGAACTACTATCTCATATTTGTAATTCTGGTTCATTACCATTTAGTAAAACTGCAATAAACTATATATTTTTTAACATATACACACATCTCATCCCACTTTATTCACAACCTACTGCAAATGTTCAAGAATTTGATACTCCCTGCTGCTTTATCTGCTTGGAATTACACCGTGCTGGAGTCAGAACAGGACTCTCCCAGGTTTATATTGAGGTAATTCTACCCAAGGGAGCACAGTAGAGTCTCACAGCAAAACTCACCATAAGTGAGTGAGATTAATCACAAAAATATTCTGTAGTTTGACGGCGTATTTTAGCCAAAACCTCAAAACACTTCACAAATATAAAACATGATTCACGGTACACAGACTTGTCATAAACACGTGCGTAGCTTGAATGAGGAGCTGATCCTGCCAAAGCAGGATGGATCTGCAGCAGATCAAGAAAGAGAACTTTAACTCTCACCACCTCCTCTTGACATTGATCTGGGAACATCTACACACTTTTTTTTTTTTTGCAGACAAACACGATCCCTTCCTGGTCATGCTGGAATCAACTGTGTCAGGTTAGATACATAATGGCAGTAAAGCAGCTTCCAGGCACTTCAGGGCATGGGCAGAGGAGCCCAGTCTACCAAGGCTCTTACGGACAGACACATATGCTCAGTTAGTTAAATTATTGCTCGTTTTCTAGCCTAAAGAGGATGATCACCATAGGATTAACTTTCTTAAAGAGCTGACGTTACATATACTGTTGARCATAAATAAGCTCAGCCTGGTTTGCATTATGTAGCCACAATACAGCTGGCTGTGTGTTTAATAAACACGATGAAATTTAGCCCAGATTGTAAAAAGCCATATGGCCCAAAGCTTTAAAAAGTCAAGTATAAGAAGAAATACACTTCAGAGCAGGAGGTAAGGTATTTAGAAGACCGGTTCTGCATGCAGTTGGATCTACATGCATGCAAGATGGGCAGAGACAGCTGTAATTTCTAGACATTTAAGCTACCATTTCAAATTAAAATCAATGTTATTAAAGCCTTTTATTGGCAGCCTCACTTTTCAACCATTTATGGCAATTAACTCATATTTAACTTTACATTTAAGCAATATTTATTGATTTAAAAATCTTTATTACTAAACTGATCTCTCTGAATCATTAAAACCAGCATTACACACACACACACACACACACAAAAGGAATCTTCTCTAGGGAGATGATTGACAAAGACATTTGAGAAAAGAACTACACCTTCCCCACAATACAGCCATTCCTTTTTGCTTAATTATGTTGTTGGCAATTCGATGTTCTTTCATCAGCTACACTGATCCATTATACTGGTTTCTCCAGAAAATGMAGACATATCTGGTTATCACAGAGTTTATGGGATGATGAGCATATTGTTACAGGCTTGTCTGGAATTTAAGTGTTCCTCATTTCTCTTTGCTACATCATCTGTACAGATTGCAGCAATAAAATGACTGCTCTGAACAAAAGAACTAAACAGTTAAGAGTATTTTCTCCCAGAAGAATGGGTAAGTTCTTCTAATTCCATTATTAACACAAGAGTTTATTCTAAAAATGGTAGCAAAAAGGAAAAAAAAGGAAAAAAAAATCCACTTTTTTTCCCCCACTTTGGCTGGTTGAACAAATGTGACCAAATCTGAGAACTCCATAGGAATAGCCATTAAATCTAAATGTCTGCATAGTTTCCTGTGCTTACCTGTTCAAAAAGCTGCCTTTGAGATTCAAGTTCCATTCGCCTTACTTCAATATCTTGAGAAATAGCAGCTGTTTCTTGCTCTCTTATAGATGCCTTGAGAAGAAAGATAACCCATGAAAACAATGTAAAGGAAAAATACTTGACCCTTAAAAAAAAAGAAATAGCCATCTCCTACCTCTAAGCTGACTTTCTAACATACCATGAATGGTGGAAAATAATTGATATCGAGAGCACAGGGCTAATGAATCTTACAGTCCCTGATGGTGCTCTGAGAAGTGCAGTGCTGTGGCCTGCAGAAAATCAGTCTGGGCCCACAGGCCTCAAAGGCTCCGGCTGCATCCCGTGCATCCTCGTGCCGGAGCCTGGAGCCCGGCAGGAGCAGAGCCAGGTCTCGGTAGCGGCACCTGGCGCCTCCCCATCAACAGCAGAGCCACTTTGCAGTCTGGATCTACTGCCCACAGACACCTGAGAATTGACTAGTCCTTTAAGGAGCTCACATCTCAGCACTGCCAATATACGGAGGCATTTGGCTTTTCTCAGGAATTTGGCAGTTAAAATAAGCCAACAGAACACAGCAAGTGCCAAAGATAACTGTTAAATGTGCATTTACTACATAAAGCCATCCACCTCATGCCAAACACATCTCTGTGCTCACACATCACAGTACATCAGCTGTAACTTTAGATGTGTATTTATGATTGTTGACTTTTCTCGATAAACCTTGCAGAAAAGAATTGCTTGAGCAATACTGAACCTTTCTTGCAATTTCATCTTCAAGTCGTTTGAGCTCCATCTGCCGCTGATCTTGCTGGTATTTCAGGAAACGGCGTCTTGCAGCATCCAGCAACTGCAATTCCTTTAYTTGCAGTTCTCTCTTCACAGCAGCTAGTCTTCAAAGCCAAAATAAACACAAACAAGGAAATTTATACATATAAAATGTCAAAGTCAAAGACTGCAAGTTTGCACTGCAGTCACCCACTAGTTCCTATGAGTTTAACTTATAATGCTTGGGGCAGGTGCTTTCTTTCTATAAACTGTCTATAAACTCATTTACAAGACAAAACTAAAATCACAGACAAACAGARGTCCTTTAAGGGCAGCCCCTCCCAATTAACCTGTGAAAACCTGTGTTCTGCTACCATCTCATTTTAATAAGCAGTAATTTAGGACTGCAATGATCCAGAAATGGATACTATTCCTTAGTACCAGTGTCTTGGGACCTTTTTCTGCACAAAAATCTTATGTTTATTTGTAAAATATCAAACTGCTTCCAGAAACAGGTTCATAATCTTGTGAACTAGTTTGCAATGAAAGGCCACTGCCCTCTTAAAAAAAACAATCTGTAAGAAAACAAAAGCTCAAGTAAAATACAACTTGTATTTGATCTGTGGAGATGCTGAAACTCTCTTCACAACTGCAGAATGCAGGGACTGCTGCATTAATTTCAGTACTAGGGCAAGTCTTTACTCAGCAGCTGATATGGTTAAAAGTCCTTTTTCTAAATCCATTAGAAATGGAAGAATTTGTACAGGTCACTGATACTGTYGAGGGCTGTTACATTTGCAGGGTGAGTCTGAAGTCAGTGTGCAAAAACACAGCAGCTGGCGGCCCAAGAGCAGTCATAGTCTGAAGAGAGCAGACAAAAGCTGGGAGCTGACACAAAAATATGAAGTGACTTGGCCTCTGCTCTGCTGTTATTTCCTTGGGCAAGGCAGTAATAAGAATCAGATCGTTCCCACACCAAAATCCAATCCACCATACCACACTCTTTTCCCGTATTATAATTCATACAAATTAGCGGTGATTTCTCCTTCACTCACAGTTAAAAATATAATAGCAGGGTATTGCAGCTGGGCCCCTAATATTTTGTATATAATAAAGAGTACCTCTGCCTCTGTTCTGCCAGCCTCTCTTCTTCTTCCAGCAGCATTTTTCTCCTCTGTTCCTCCGCTTCTTGAAGCAGTTCCTGCTTCCGATACCAGGCTTCATCTTCCACCTTCCGTTCCAGCGCTTTAGCTTCCAACTCGTGCACCAGCTGCCTAAATGAAAGATCACACACATAAAGCCAGACATCAAGAATTACTTAATTACTCAGAAACTGATGATTTTACTAGCAAAGAGCTGCTGAAATATGGTATCATGAAAGGGCAGGGCATCCCCCCTATGTGCTAATAAAAACATAAAGAAGAGCCATGGTACCAACCGTTACAAAGAGGGCATTGCAGCCAAGTGCAGAAATGGAGCTTTTTTTCTCATGTTCTTAAGAAAAACAGACTTGTAAAGGTGCCAAGATAATTAAGGTAATTTCAGTGGCCAGCTGGTAACTCCTGGCCCTTTTACAAGCTAGACATTACAAGGCTAAGACAGATTTARGTTCTGAATTCAAAGTTTTCAAGTGTGAAGACTTTGGGCCAAATATTTTCTGAGAATTAACAAACACTTTTGATTTAGCATAAGAGTGTCAATTGATTTAAAAACACAGCAAGCCAAATCACTCTTATTTCTTGTAGTTATTTAAACCAGTGTATCCATTTTTTTTATTATTTTCTTCCTTCTCAAGCATCCACATTAAAATAGGAAAAGGGAACTATATCTTATCTACCTCTTCCTCCCAATTTGTCATGGTCTTCAATGTTCCCACTAATACCTCTCTCGTAAGTACGCGATTTCATCCTGTCTGATCCTCTCTCGTTCCTGAGTTTGATAATCCACAATGAACTTGGGGTATTTATTAAACACAGGGTACTGCCCTTTTGTAAGTGGTATGAAGTCATCAAGCATATGCTGTGGATGGATATCTACGGGTGTAGACTCCATTAGATGATAAGCTTCTTTAATCACCACATTAATGTCCAAGTTGTTCCGATGATGAAAGAAATACTGCAAGAGACATGCTTCTATTTACATTCTACAAAACATTAAGCAAATTTTCAATATGCCTTATAGGAACAGGTAAATAAATTAGAAAAGTCTATATTCCAAACATGGATTATAARCAGGTTATCACGTTAGCCCTTCCAAATAGTTAAAAATCACTGTCTCAACTGACTTGATCCAAAGCTTTTCAAGTTTGAAAAGCATCTTCTGGCTCTTCTCTCCAAATTACATTTATCTAAAAGATATGGGAAGCTGGCATGTGATTTTAGAGTAGTCCAACCGCCTACACAGACACTTTTACCACTGGGTAAATGTCAGTGACTTTTGACGTTTAAAAGAAAATCTGTCTATTATTGAGAGACTATGACAATATTCTCTCAAATATTGATTATTGAGAGAATATGGCAATAGTGTTTTTGGTGTGATGCCTGACAAACTGATTGCTGAAAAGCACATTTTTCAAATTTCATTTTCTTCCTTCAYCTATAGAGGTATCATCGTATGGAAGATGCTCTTCCTCTCATGCAAAGCTGAACATAAGTTCTTGCTTCAAGGGAAGTAATATTTTTAATTCTGCAAATCTGCAAAAGTTTATCAACCACAAAATTATTTTGCCTCTTATTTGGGAATCTAGAACTGACTTAGGAGACAAAAGACTGTAGTTCTGTCATGGTCTTATTTCATTATTTTCCACTCTAAGTCAGTTCTAGATTCCCAAATAAGAGGCAAAATAATTTTGTGGTTGATAAACTTTTCACATCTACAAAACAATTTTTGGTGGCATTAGAAACCTGTGAAAATTTAAAGACAGTCATATTATATGAAATTGCAGAGAACTGCTCAATATTTTTTACTTTATAGCACATTGGCCAGGTGGTACATGACACTGTTCAGACACACAAAGATATTTCAGTGCGGAATTGAGACATTCCTTTTTAACTTCCATAAAAATAGATATGATGGTTTATAGCTTTTTTATAGCTGCAATTTCGGATGACTGACTTGAACTGCAGATGCTTACCTCAAAATCCTCTATTTGATTACAGTGAAGTAGTGCAGCTCTGGAACATGTAACGTAGGCAACAACAACCATTAGAAAGTATGAAGGATGGTTGGAGAAGATGTTATCAAAGACTTTCAGCCATTCTTCTCTTGTTAGCACCTCAGAGAACAGTGTTTCTAGGAGAGGCCAGGCRTAAACCTACATTATTGGGGAAAATTAACAAAATAGAACATTAGTGGGATTTCACTGTTGCTTGAACTGGAATAATATGAAATGCTATTGCCTTATAACACAAATTTACTTATTTATGAATGACAAACTGGAACTAAGCCAGGAGATTTGAGGATTTGAATAGAGGAGGTGTAAATCATCCATTTATATTTGCAAAGCTACAATCATCCCTAATGATAAACATACATAATTGTGGCATTGCTTCACTGACTAAACTCATTCACCACACCTATGTCCACCTTCCAAAAAAGAAAAAGAAGATACACTTATAAATCAACCAGTAGGGTTTCAAACAAAGTGCATTTGAAAGCAAAGCACTTCTATGAACGACAGTAGCATGGATATGAGGGTTTATCTTCATGCAAAAGGAAAAGCTGCTGCAAAGTGGTGAGATATTTGTCCCATACATATGAGCATTAACTACTACTCAACAAAAACACCCTTGGAAAGGAACTACGTTAAAACAGAAGACTAGTGCACTARTCWTYYASTGCAATGACATTTCATGTATGAAATTTGGCTGGAATTTTACCTGTGAAGTCACATTGTATTTTACCAAATGCTGAAGCAGCTCTTTGTCATGATGTGCCAAAATATTCTCCACCATACTAAGGACATTAACTGGAGGATTGGGAAAATACTCAAACCAGTGCTGACAAAAATTAACTACAAGAGAAATAACAYAATCCATTATAAGCCAGAGTGACAGACTCCTGACAATGCTTTAGGTTTGACTGCAACAGCTGGGAATTTCTAAGAGGGAGTCTCTGGCAGCAAAGCCTGTTCAAGACGCTCCCATTCCTCCTCTTCTTGACAATATATTCCTAATCCATTGCTACATTTTACTGAATAGACTTGAAAAATACTGTTACACTGTTAAGCTCTTGCTGGAAGCAGTGCAAAGGAAGTCTAATATATAGTTTTGATTTATAAATAGGTTTTGGTTTTCAAACATACAGTCACTATATTAGTAACTCCTGGTGAATACTTTTAAAAGAGAACCTCTGCTGACTTTGTCAGGAAAATACCTCATTTGCTTTATCAAGAAAAGTTTTGCACTATAATATTTGGCAGCAAATTTAATTTTTAAGCATCTTTGCTTACCTACTACAGTAGCAACAACTTCAAAGCAGATCAGCTGGTTGTTCTGAAACAGTTTTACAAATGGGAATGCTAGCAGAGGGATATAAGGTGTCTCACCAAAGATAGCAGACCAGTGAGCTAGAGCAGATAAGGTCCTATATATAAAAACAAGAAAAGGAGTAGAAAACAGTTGGAGTAGAAAACAAAAATATCACATACATATTATAAATGTACAGAGGTCTAAACTTTCAATACACAGATGCTGTATATAGAAGTTCAAGTACACTAAGGCATTACTATTTCACTTCAGACTTGCATTACAACTGGTTCCAGCTGGGGGGGCATACTTTATATCAGCCCATGCAAATACACGTTTACCTTTGTAAAACCCTCAGCAGCTTCCTGCTTTTGATGGGATACTCGTTCTGAATCTGCACGAAGGCACCGTGGGTGCCTTTATCTACGAGGCTGCTGAAGGCGCCGTGGTTTTCAGGCAGCTGGAGCAAGGAGCGCCAAACAAACATCCTGCAAGCAGACAGAGACTCAGCTGAGAGCACAAGGCAGCTGGTTTCATGCAAGCACAGGCACGCACACAGCCCTACCTGTATTTCTCTGGATATTCTCCAAATCCTTTCAATAAGGCCTGCAGCCGTTTCTTGTTTAATCCACCTGGCAGCTCRTTCTAAAAACCAGGAAATTACCAATCAGTGTATGTAAGTAGTTCTGCTTTTTCCCCCTTGTGTTCTAATTGATGACAGTATCTAAATACTGAAAGTCTTACCATCGTATTTAACAAACAGACAAACAAACAAAAAAAACCAACTGTTAGGTATTCTGCTGTTGCATCATTTTAGATATTTTGACAGCAACATTTGCTTCCTACTGTAGTCAAAAAAGAGCAGCCACTGATTTCAGTTAGAACCAGATCAGACCCCAAATAAGAAAACTCAGCCAAACTATATTAACATAAGGAATGGATCATTTTGTGATGAATCTCTGTAAGGAGAATGTATATACCACTCAGGATAAAGAACCAGAGAGAAGATTGTGCAGTGATGAGAAAAAGGAAATAAATGAAACAATAATGTAGCTCCTAAATAATATCAAAAACGATATGGTTTCTAGACTGAAGTTCTAGGAGTTTTGCTAGCAGGGAAGCAGAGCAGTTTTAACAAACATCCACATGTGGTTCTAGTGACTTCAGATACCCCAACCCACCTAGGGGACGCTCCACAGCCCTGGCTCTGCCACGTATTGCAGGAGTAGGTGCTAGGAGAGCAGAAGAAAGATGCTAAAACTGCCCTAATCCCCTCTCTGTTTAAGCATCACAGTCAATCTGGGCTTGACCTTGCTTTCTAAAGCAAGCAGCTGGTTTTCTGCAATGCAACTGCAGCGCTGCAGGCTGGAGAACACAATATTTGCAACTTCTTCCTACCTCTTTATTTTCGAGTGCTGTGTTTGCTTGTGGTTTCAGTGTTCTGGTTTCAACTTTGCTTCCTCTGGATTTCCAAGGGCGCTCTGACCCTTCCGGAGCCACCCTCACTGTAAGTTTATTTGTCTCTAACTTGCTCTTGGACCAATCTTCCACTACTTTGAGCAGGGGTGGCGGAGGCTAGTATTAAATGAAAATAACCCAGTTACCAGCTGTGAGGAAGCCTAAAGGTCATTCTAATCTGATATTTACTCTATTTTACATGCAATATTCTCGAGCTCAATAGCCAAAGCAGGAACAATAGGTAGACATTTATAGGAGAAACAAAAATATATGGACTAAATCCCGGAGTGAATAAAGATGCTGTAATAACCTAGAAAGACTATGAGAAGATTTACGTAGCTTCCCAACACCTACTCACTCATCACATATATTCCTGTTTCGCAAACACTAAAGCATAATTGGGATAGTACAAGTGTACCATGCACTCAGCTAATTTACTTTAGTGTGTTTCTCAATGTTATGGAGAGCTCTTTTTTACAGCACCTGTTAAAAGAGAATATAAATATAACTTTAATTAACCTTCACTGTCAGGCAGGTATTCGTTGAACGGTGGAGATTGGGAAAGCAAGTACCGATCCCAGATCGTGCCAGCCCAGCAGCAAAAGTGCAAATGAAATGTATGTCTGGCCTGCAACCTCGTACACACTCTTCCTCAGTGCAAGCTCTTTTGTTGTACAAAGCTGGTCACTTCAAAGACATGGTGATTAAAGATATATGGAATTCTGGATTTAGAAACTCGACTCTCATTAATAAGTCACTTTAATAAAGTAAGAACTGGTATTTAAAATGTTTGTTATTTAGGAAGGATTAGGAAGACGATTTCACCATAATGATGTATTCTAGTATCTAATAATGCAGTGARAATAACAAAATCATAGTTAATAAATAAATAAAGACCAGAAGAATAAGAAAGCATCAGTTACAAATTGCTTCTGGAAGAAAATGGAGTAGCAGCAGCAGCACAATCCTCTCATTTCCACCCCTGTTCACCTCAATAGCATCATTACAAAGAATAAAAATGGTACATGCAAATTGCTGTAGAAAGAAATCCCTCCTGAAAACAGAATCTCAGTGAGGTGCTTGAAAAGGATTTACTCGGCAGACTGAAATAAACACCACAGGAACTCTACCAGTCTTGGTAGTCTGAAACACAGCACTCCAAGACTTTTAAGCCAATAACATTAGCAAACTACTTCTGATATGAAAATCTTGCAGACAAGTATGACTTTCAATGGCATTTCCTGCTGTGGTAAGAAAGGTAAAACACTACCTTATTTACTTCTTGAGTCAAAGCTTGGACACTGTATAGATTAAGGCTTCCATTTTCCATGACTGCTGCAATATAACGTCCATTGGGGCTAATCGCTGCTGCACTAATTCCCTCCTCGTAACTCCCAATGTCAAAAAGAAGTTTGCACGTCTCTATATTGATAAACCTCATAATATTGTCTTGGCTTAACACTCCAAGGATCTACAAGGTGAAAAGGATCCAACAATGAGCACTGACAATGCAAAGCAAAGAGGAATATCAAAATCTGAAATTCCACTCAAATACATTCCATTAAGCTAAAAAGAGAGTGAGCAAATATTTAAGAGAGTAACTTTTCTTTCTACTGCAGACTGCCCATCCCCTTAGTGTCCCCCAAATCCCCTCACAGTACATGTGCTGAATCAAATAAACRAATACACCAGTCTTAAGCGTTGTAAAAAACTGACCTGATTAGAGCCCCCATCAAAACTATCAGGGAGGAATTCCAGATGCCGGACAGCTCGAACCTTCGTGGGCATCTGGATTATTCTCACCAACTGCTTTGATTCTAAACACCATAAGTGAAGATGATTTGATTTTCCACCAGCTACAAAAATCCGGCCGTCTCTGGATCACAAACAAACAAAGTTTCCATCAGAATATACATTAAATAAAATCAGAGAATTCATGCATTTCATTGTGCCCTTTGTTTACTTTTAAATCTATCGTTATTCCTCTCATACAGTACTGAAGGAATAAAACAGTTCCTAAATAATAAAACTTGCTTTTGTAATGGATAATTTAAACTTTATTCTAGTAGTAATTAAAAAATAAGTTCCTTCTTTTCAGGGGACTGTAAATGCTAAGGGATTGTACTATAAATGGATGTGATTTGTTGCCAAAGGGTCAGTCATAGCAGAGTTCAAAGCCTTAGCATAATATACAGCTCAAAACTTCCATAAAACACTGCAAATAAGCAGTAAAGCTTTTTAAAAAAACACAAACTTGGTTATTTTTATACCCTCCAGAATGTTTAAGACTGCACTTTACCTGGTGACTGCAAAGACCTTATAAAGCAAAAGTGATCCTTCTACTGGAGTTGGCAACTGGTATTTACACTGAAGAGTATCAAATTCCCACGCAAAAACTGAGTTATCCTTAAAGCAGCTGAGGATGGTGTTACTCAGGGGAAGAAAGAAAACCTGCAAGAATATGAAGTAAATAGAATAAAGTTGTTCAGAATGTACCTTTTAAATTGGACAGAACTGAATGACCGAATAAAACAGAGCAAGAAACTACCACAGTGGGAATCTTAACGTCCTGTTAAGCAGAATGAGGGCTGAGATCCCAGGGATGGCAGGTCCCCTTGCCCTGCTCCGTGCTCCCTTACACTGGTTCAGAACTTGCACCCTCTGCTAAGCCAGTGCAGCCTGCTGCAAGCACAAAGAATGACCTGTCTTTTCTGGGTTAATTTTTTGACTGCTAATTTGGCTTGTGTAGGATCCTGACGAGTGGCAGGCAGAGCAGGATACAAAGGATGGCAACAACTGCCTGGGAATAGGAAGAAAAGGGCTCTCTCTCTCTGCACTGGTGGGTTTTGAATTGCTCCCTGTATCTGAAATGTGGCTTCAGCTTCCAAACAGCACCAGTAGCCTGARGATGAACTCCATGGAGCACACTAAGAACTTGAGTTCTTAGATTTACATATAGCTATTTAATGTAGGAAAAAAAACCATTGTGGACAGTTTAGCAATGCATTCTTCATCTATGAAATGCATTTTTGCTGCCACGTTGAAAGAAAACAATAACAAAAATGCTTTATATATACATTTTAATTATTCTGAACATGCTTACTGTATATGCGTAATTTCTTTCCATAAAAAATAAAATGAATTATGAAAATTCGGATTTCATCAGACAAATTCTTGCTGAATGACAAATTACTGGTCTAGACCAGAGGTTCTATTTGGGCAACAGCACCTGCAGCTCCTACAGAATCACCCTATCCCCACCCTATCCCCAGCTTTGAAGGTTAAAGTCAAAATGTAGTTGCTGGTGCCTGAGCACTGCGGGTCTGCCTGAAGGATTCATGGGGTGAGACACGCAGGCAGTGCTATGAGGGGCACAGTTCCCTTCTAACTGATATTTTCAGGCCTTGAAACAAGTTGTAAATCCAGACGTGTGGGATGGGATTCATCTTGCCTAATGTTAGCGACTAAAAGTCTGATATTCAGCCCAAATCATTTGCTTGGCAGTGAATGGGAAAAAGTTGCCTGTGAGGGGGAAGAGTCACCTCATCGGCCACGTTCATCCTATTCAGACGGGCTGGGTTGCTCTGTGGAGCTGCCTGTCCTTCTTTGGGGAATCTGAGGAAGTCTGGACAAGGAACTGGGAGGAGATGCCTGTCATGCAGATGGGTGAAGTTAGACAAGATGATTCCTACCTCTCCTTAATTCCTGTCCTTAGAAAGAAAAGTCTGTGGGTCCTTTCAAGAGCAAGTTATTTTGATTTTTGACAAGCTGGAGTACTGAACAGTTATTTTAGAAGGATAAGACACTAGCTTATGCTGAATAGTAGTGGTGCTTTGGAAATCRCCTTTACAGATGTCCTCTCCTTGGCTCTCCATTTTAATCGGTCTTTTTTCATCTTTGTCTTTTCTCATCAGTCCTGCCCCTGCACTGACTGTACAGAAGGTCTGTGTTGGACTGCAAACTGGGGTCATGTGAAGAGACCACCCAAAGTTCACTCCAAGGATCGGTGGAAAACTACCAGGAAGGCTCCTATAGCAAGTGAGAAGGGCACTTTGGGCACTAAGTGTCACTGTCACCAGCTACCGTCTGATAATAAATCTCATCTTTAATTTGGCACTTATCTGCATGTCTTAAATCAAGACATGGCAGTAAACATTATTATCTCTGTTTCAAGGACTGGAAAATGAGATCCAGATAAGCAGCATAAAGTCACATCAGGGATGAGAGAGACAAAAGAAAACCACAGGCTCTTGATTCCCTAAACAGTGATTTATCTACTGAACCACAGCCATTATTGTTCTGTTTTAAAAGCTGTTCCCATATCGAAACCCCCTGATCCTACTAAATTTCAAGAGCCAACAAGAACTYCCCCCACCACACACCTAGTCTACACAAAGATACATACTGTCAGAAAAACTTGATTTACCAAATAAAAGCACTCGTCTCTGAAGGGAAATGTGATTATTTTAGTGACCTGCACTACAGAACAGCTTTAATAAAGCAACAACAACAACAAAAAGTAAACAAACTATCCCACGGAAATTGCTTGGTGACTATTTCAGGTTGACAGAAATTCTGTCTGACCTAGAACATGAAGACACTCAAACGAAAAACCTCTGCAAAACCAGCATGGGAATTTTACTGACCCATTTGAGGAGATGTTCAGTTTGAAGTGGTGTCTGTAGGACTACTCCCTGCAGCGCAGCACGTGTAAGCAGCGCTCAGGGACAGCCTGGGTACTTTCTGCACTGCTTATGCCAAGCTTGGACATTTGGTGGCAAAGGCAGACTCATTACAATTAGCATGATGGTATGGCAACCTATATAAATCCCTCCTCGACACAGACATACTCCTCACTCCCCAAGTTGTTCTGGCATGTCTTGCAGCAAACTGAATCAAAGTAGTCACTAGCAGTAATTTCCTTCTGCTGAGTTATTTTTCAGCTTTGTCAGCCCCCACATTCAGCGCTGGCATGACCAGGGCACACGGGAAGGGAAGCAGCTTTAAAATAAGCTGTAAATAAACTGTAGTGACTCTTTTAACTACGACTGCTGCCAAAAAAAAAAAAAAAAACCCAACTCTGCTGAATATCCTCAGGTTGGAAAGGATTTCCAGAGGTCCTCTGAGGCTCCCTGCCCCCAGTTTAAAGCAGGGTCCACCTAGAAGGTGGCACCAACTTCCAGATTAGATTGACTTGGTCATGGTCAAACCCAGCCTAGTTTTCAGTATCTCCAAAAACGGAGGTTCCTTAAATATTCCCAGCAAATCTGTTTGACTCGTGTGTTGTGATTCCAGAAGTCTGGGCAATGAGATGGGAGCTATGTCCAAAGCACAGAGAAAAGATTCAGCGGTATTTCAAAAAGTATTTTCAAGTACTGAGATTTTAATACGCAGCATTTTTCCCACCCAGCTGTGCTTGTCTTGTGCTTTAGCAATGGCTCTTTCCTCACCTTCTGAATACCCACAGAGTGACGAACGTTGAGCTTTCGTTTCCTTTGAAAGGTGTCCAGGTCCCAGAGCTGTGCTGTGTCAGGGGACGTGGTGATTGCATACCTACCCGAGCCATGCACAGAGATGGAAGACACTGAAGATTCGTGGCCTCTCATCCAGCTAACGAGTTCTTTGGTTTCTGTAGGAGTGGATGGAAAAAAAAATGAAAGGATCTGAAAGTCACACAAAGGAAATCAGCTAGTGCTTTACTCSTTATTGTCAACATTACGCAATGAAAGAGACTTCAGCATAGCTAGTATACCTTTGTTCACAACCACAATTCATGAAACRAGAAACAAAGATAGCAATCTTCATATAGTTATTATACCTTACAGAAACAGAACCTTCACCTTGACTCTAAGTAACAGATTTTATAAGTTTTTCCTTACACAGAAAGCCAACTTGCACAGACCTGTTTAATTTAGCCTAAGAATCAATCCTAAGAGGCCATGACAATTGAGATTAGATAAATTCACTATGGTTTGTAGGCAGATTATCCAATGTGAGCACCAGGAGTAATCCCTAAATGTTGAGACTGAATGTTCTYGTTAAGAGTTCTCCACTTGTTTTGACTTGCAATAAGCATGAATGATTACACAGCTATTCACGGATGCAAAGGAGGAAGGCTGAATGACAACAGCTTATGACTACAGAAACGCAGAGTCAGAAAGCAACAGCTCATTAATTCTTTTAGAGTGCAAAACATTTTTAGGCAGTATATTGCATAGTAAGGAAATGGTTTCTCTGTCTGCATTCTCTCGCGCTTGTGACTGCATGACCACTAATCTTTCCTCAGCAACTCAACAATATTTGYGGCAATTATACTATTTACATTGGGCAGTTTGCCCGACAGCCCATGGGGTGGTTCCAGCTGACCTACTGCTGCAGCCTCAAAGATGGGAAATGGCTTTTGAGCAGCTCATTAGGGCTGTTATCACATGGGAGGAGGACATGGGATTACAGGGTATAGCTTCTAGGATAGCTGATGGAGCTCTCCAACTGAGCATTTCCTAACACGCTCCAAGGATAGTTTGCCCAATTCTGACGTGGGTGGGAAGTATTTATAGTACTTTAAAACATTCTTCACTATGATCTGGCATCTGGGAAAAAAATACCATACAAACATGCCGACCTCTGTGCAGTGATTAACAAGGTTACTCTAAACGGATACAAAAAATAAACTTGGTCTTCCTGCGAAGAGGTAAAGGTAAAAAAAGGCGCAGAGGGTTTCAGACCATATCTCCTACTCTTCCTCTATTTTGGGAAATAATGTTGGTTAAAATCTCCAGCAACAGTATCAGACTCAATTCTTCCAATTATCAAAGACTTATTTCTACTGCYTTTTTCCCTAAATATTTAAGTCCACTTGATAGCAGACACTTCAAACTCACTTTTTGATAAGTTAAGATTATCAGGAATGACCTGCCAATGCCTTTCACCATTTAGCTGGTAAACAAGTCAAAAACAAACATGTAACCTGTGAAATTAACTTTAGATGTCACCTTTGAATAAGGATACAGATTTACTTGCATACTCCAAACTATTGACAGTTCTGTTAGTACAGTGTCTTCTTGGTTATTTCTTTTCCTGCAAATAAAGTTTAAAGCTGGTTCACTTGCAAACTCTACTACACTGACAATTGATTTTGTTTTGTTTTTACACAGCCTGATATAGAAGCAACGTATAGGGATCTGCTTTAGAAAAGCTAACACATAATCTTGGTCCTACGCTATACTTAGGCAGAAGCCTCGGTGACTCAGTGGACACAAGAAGCTGTGATGAAGCAAAGGGTTCTTTACCCATAAAAGACAGGACTATAATCTTTTTTGTTATTGTTTCAGAAGAATATGTGGCATGTAGTGCTTAGGAAGGCTTCCATCAAAAATCTTGCAAATTTGAGGTTGAAACTAAACCTATGTACGTTTTTATAGCAATCCAGATTTGTCAGGAAGGTTTTAAATTTCTCCCTACCTGTATCAAAACATTTTATGGAATTATCTGCCAAAGCCACAAGGAATTCTGTCTTCCTACGAAGATTAAATGCTAAAGCAGTACACGCCTGTGTTGTTCGCTGGACAAGGTTGAACCTGTTTTAAAAAAGACAAATATTACTGTGTTAGGAAACTGGTTCTGAGTATAACATAAAATAATAAATTCATCACTTTCAACACATGTCACCAAGAGAAAATTAACGGCAATGAAGGGTGCAAAGAAATATTAAAAAAATGCCCACTTTTAGAACTCAATAGTGTAAAACTGAAAAGACTAATTCAACTATTTCTCCAGATGACCTTAGTCTAGTTTACTGTAATTCATAGCTCATTATTAATTGATCGATACTATTCACAGAATAACCTTTTTCATGTGGTAACATTTAATTGATCACTGAGGATTTATGATATTGATGTCTGTTCAGTTTAGAACTAAAATTCTCTCTCTTTTTTTTTTTTTTTTTGCATTAGCTAAATCAATAAARCAGTTGCAGGGAGCCTGTGTGAGAGTCTGCTTTGCAATTTCAGTTTTGAAACCACCACCTCACTCGGCATGAAAAACATCATAGATGTCAAGATGGTGAAAATCATTTATATCAACTGATCAGTGCTATTTCTTATAATAAATCTYACCTGTTTCCATTCAAGTCAAAAACATATATATTTCCTTGGTGGTCTCCTGCGAGTAGAGAATCTCCAGAACTGTCAAAAGCCACATTTAGAAAACGTATTGTTTTTGAGTGATATCCTGTGGTACTATGGGTTATGTTTACTAGAACTCTGTGAAGAAAGGAAGCAGAATGAACAGGTTGTGAATTGTTTCCTTATCATGTATTTCCCCGAGATGTACAATTAAAATATTCCTAGAGTGGGATTTTACAATTCTAATCAATGTCACCTTTAATAAATCTTGCTCTGTGAAAGAAAACATATTTCTATTATTAAATACATACATATATATATATATGCATATATAGTGAAGTTCTGACTTTGTTGGAAGGTAGTTAGGAGATAACATGTAAAGTAAATGGGGGAAATCCACCACTCCTGGCCATTTTATAAGTTTCTATAAGAAAATGCTTAGATCAGACAGGGAGCAATTCAGTTTTCATACCATTTCTTCACAGGTGAAGCAAGCCATTTTTATCATTTTCATTTGAGATACTATGGAACAAAACCTGCTATCTGTCAGTTTTTAACACTTCAAACTTGTGTTAATGTTACCAGAGGGTGGAGCCAGGTGACCAACAGGAGCCCCTGGTCAGAGCAAGTCACCTGAACCAGCTCCAGAAGATCTGCTCTTCCTGGGTTTCTCGGATAACATAAGTCAAACGATGTATTTTCTAAAACTACCTGAATGTAAATTCAGAATCACAGTAAATACCTAAAAACTGCACAGGATATCGGGATGCAGATTACAGACCCAGAGGCACCTGCAGCCACTGAGCAGCCCGTGACACCCAAAGAGCCCTGGCTGCGGGTGCCGAGCGTGAACCGGCCTCACGTGAACAGCCAGAGCCCAAACCAACTGCCCCTCATCCCGCTGCCGTTCTCTGGAGTAAGAGGCCACAAAAAATWAGATCTGCCTTTTTGCTATCTAACAATCATGCAATAACAGGTGGCATCTTTAATGCTACTAAAAAACAAAGTATGACTTMTAATTAAAAGCTGAGAGAAATTAATCCAGTTACAGCATCGCAATACTTCAAAAAGTACTTCAAAGGGTCCTTTGATACTAAATTAATTTAGAAGAATAAAAATATCATCCAGGATTTCCATGCCAAGCACTATACAAGTACTTAAAAATAATGAGGGTGCCAGAGCCCTGGCACAGGCTGCCCAGGGAGGCTGTGGAGTCTCCTTCCCTGGAGATCTTTAAAACCCGCTTGGACRCAGCCCTGTGCCCCGTGCTCTCTCTGGGTGACTCTGCRTGTGCAGGGGGTTGGACTAGATGACCTCTGAGGTCCCTTCCAACCTTAAGCATTCTCTGATTCTGTGATAATGCATTTATAGAGTTCTTCAGCTTGGGCTGCATCATGTTTTGACGTTTTCTCCTGCATCATGTATCATGCACATTTTATATGCGCTCTCCAAGGAACTTGCTCATAGTAAGCTGTTTAATTAAAYCAAACTAAACTGGATTGCGATGGTTTGGATGTCCGCAAGCCCAAGCACTCGGCACAAGCTCCGTCTCGGCCTGGGGGGCACCTGGAGCTGCAGGGTGACAGAGCCGAGGACCAACGCGGCTGGAGGGGCCCCGTGCGGCCCGGCCCGCTCCCTCGCGCCGCCCCGGCCGTTGCCCCGGCCGTTACCC